TAGAGGACATAATACACTGCCTAATACACTGTAAAGAGGCAACGGACTATTGGGCGAGAGCCTCAGCACTATGGGACTCCTTATTCTTGACCCCCTTCCCTGAACAACCCATCCAACTCCTCCTCCTGACTAACATTCCCGAACATTTCAAGAAGGCAGAAAGGATTTGGTTCGAAATCACAAGGAAGGTGACATTGTGGGTCGTATGGAAGGAAAGATGCAGCAGGACGATTGAAGGAGTGGCCAACGCACGTGAAAAAGTTTGGACTGAGACCAAAAGGATGATGCAAGCGGAGATCCTCTGCAGGTGGCGGAGGATCAAACAATCATGGACAGAGGATGAGGACCAACAAAGAAAAGCGAGACTGAGCTTCAGCAGAACCTGGCTGGTAAATGGTAAAGTTTCGGACCTAAGAGAAGATTGCATCTGTTGGAAAGAATGGCACAACTCAAGTTTAGGGAGGGGTTACCAGCAACAAACAGCGGTGGAAGGACAAAACATACTCTGACCAGAACGGCCACAAGAGAGATCGATGGCTGCAGCATCGGAGTGACGGTTCAGAGAGGAATGTAAGCGGTGCATAAATTACTGAGAGAAGAAACACCACATTGCCCAAGATGTAATGAGGGAGGATGCCAGCAAACTGTAAAGAGATGCCTAAAGACCAACCAAGCTTGGACAGGGGACGAGCGACAACAAACACCTTCTTTAAGAAGCCTGCAAACTTCTCAATTCTCTCCAGCACAGCACGCGGAACCGACAGCAGTATAGCTGAGAGGAGCAGGACTGAGGCCAGCCAGAATAGTAAGAACCAATTAGTAAAAGCAGGCTAACTAATGCAGGGGTGAGGGGGGGTATATCTGTCCGTTGCCGTCCACTCGGGCCTCTCAGCCATAATGGGAAGGAGCGTGTGTGAGTATCCAGATGTATTACATATCGACTTGCCGGGGAAATAGGAACCGGACTGTCTCTCCCCAGAATGGTAGGAGCCAGAACCAGATGGTTCTGTTATTCAAAAAAAAAAAAAAAAAAAAAAAAACGAGGAACTTCGAATCCACCTACGTCGGGAAGGCCCTCACCTCACCAGTGCTTTGAGGAATGTATCTGGCCAGGAAGTGAGGAACATGAAACAGGTCGTTTTCCTTTTTTGTTTCTTGTGTGAGGTCCTTGTAGCGCCCTGCCAGCCAGACAGGGAGGATTCCACGCGAGGCAGCTAAATGCCTCGCTTCATTCAGTTCCAGACAAACACTGTAGCATCCTGTATAGGACCGCAATCACAGCATAAGGGATGTTTTTTTTTTTAATCTGCTGTTCGTGGATAGAAGAGGGCCGTGACTGAACTGTGCAGCCCGAATTTCAACTGCAATTGAAACTCGGGCCCTGACTAAACTGCTAAAACGCAGTTTCAATGCAATTACAAACTTCTTTCTTGACTGCGCCGTAGTTACCCCTTTTCTTTTTCTTTTGGGAGAATTTGCGATTTATCCCCCAAGGCTTAAATATATGTCAAAAATCTCCTCTGCTGTTTTGTTTTCTTTTGGGAGAATTTGCAACATACCTCCCCCCAAAGCTTAGAAAATATGGCGAAAGTCCCCTAAAATATCGTGATGGACTAGAATGTCCCCCTGACAATTTAAGAACTCTGCAGATTACCTTTCATGTCACGTGGACTGACCATCTTTCCAATATACCCCTAACAGGTGCCGTCCAATGTTGCAAAAATGCCCTCAGCTCCCACATGCAGGAGAGCTAGAATAGGATTAGGTCACTCTGGTCTTCCAATCGCGGTTGTCGTCGGCGTTTCTGCCGTTCTCATCATTTGTAGGCGGTGTCGATCAACTCGCCAAGATGAATCTGGAGCTGTTGAAGAAGCGGGAGGGTGCCGTCCAAACAGGAGGCAAGGGCACTGTGAGGAGAAAGGAGAAGGCTGTGCACAAGACCACAACCACAGATTATAAGAGGTTGCAAAGCACTCTGAAGAGGCTTGCACTCAACACTATTCCGGGGATCGAAGAAGTGAACATCTTCAAGGATGAAAATGTGATCCATTTCATCAACCCCAAAGTGCAAGCTTTCATAGGAGCCAACACTTATGTCGTCAGTGGAGCTGCACAGACAAAGGAGCTTCAAGACCTGTTGCCAGGGATCATCAACCAGCTTGGACTTGGTAGCTTGGCGAATCTGAGAAAGGTTGCGGAGCAGTATAAGAGCAAGGAAACTGCGGGTGTGAAGGAGGAGGACGATGACGACGTCCCAGACTTGGTGGAGGGAGAGACATTCGAAGAGGACGCCAAGAAGCCAGCACCTTGAGCAATTTGGTCCTCTCTTCTGTGGTTCTTGGTAGTGGAAAAGACCATGAACTCGATCCCTAACTTCGGCGCAGTCACGAAAACAGTTTGTAATTGCACTTCAGGCAATCCCGCGAATACAACACACCCCCACGCGACCCCACGGGACCCAAAACGTAGGTCACATACATTCAGCATTACCGGCCCTTTTGCCTCAACTGCAATTACAAACTCAATCCCTGACTGCGCCGTAGTTTTCTCTTTGTATCATGTCTCTCCTGTCATAAGGTTTTGTTTCTGTTCTTTCACCTCTTTCTCGTGTCCTTTGGACAGCAGATGGCAACTTCTGTTGTCTTACCTACCTACCTTTCACCACCCTCCCCTTCTGCACATGCACACGGAGAGAGAGAGAGAGAGAGAGAGAGAGAGAGAGAGAGAGAGAGAGAGAGAGAGAGAGAGAGAGAGAGAGAGAGAGAGAG